TGCAGCTTAACTTTCAACAATCTTGTCCATAATGTAAAGGCTTTTTATCAATCACAATATCAACACTGTACATTCGATTTTCTCATTCTGTTAAACTAAATGTATGGACCTCCCTATGTATAAAAATTATGACTAAGTTGGTGTCAATTTTTTCAATTATGACAACTTTTTTCTATTCTAGATAAAAATTTATGTATAAAAATAAAACAATGGTATAAAATATAAATTGTTTATGAAAATGATATATATATATATATATATATATATATATATATATATATATATATATATATATATATATATATATACTATTTAAATTAAGGGCTATAAATGAAATATATACTTATATAACATATAAGTATCATGAAGTTGATTTTGCAAATATTTTGGAACGTATAATAATATAATATATAAATGAAAATTTTATGTTATTTAACGATCCGTAAATAAATAACTTATATATTATATTAAAGACAAAAACAATTTAAAAAATAAATTTAAAATTAATATAATATAAATATGACATCTTATAAAACTTAAAAGATTAAAAAATGAAATATTAAAGGTTGACAGCTACTTTTGAAACAACACCATTTTGACAGCTACTTTTGAAAACAACACCACGTATACAAAAACTCCCTCCCTATGCCACCATGCATACAAATTATCTTCTTCTAAATAAGCGCTGCTAGTGGAAGATGGTTGAATACAGGGGCGGATTTAGTGCTTGAAGAGTGGGGGCAGATGTCCCCAGTGACTTTTGAATGACCAATATTTGATATTATAAATTGGGTTTACTTATTATTTTCTATGATATATGCCCCCAATGGTCAGATGTAAGAAGTAAAAACTAAAACCTAAGCCTGCATGGCCCACCTAAATTAATTATCTAGGTTTAAGTTGTATGGTGTTCAGTCATCTAGTTACCTATTTATTCAACGCCACATGATTTATGCAAAGGGACCACATAACACAATACACAAACTCCATCACTCTCTGGGACTTCATGTATACATTACAAGACGTAATTAACTCATAATAATAAGTTATATCTCTAGTTATTGAAGAAATTTACATCAAATAAACAAAGGGTAGAATAGTCTTTTTTGCATTCCACAAACCAAAATGTAAATAGATTTTATCTATTTAACATTAATGGTAGTTTTTTATGTTTCTTCTTTTTCTTCTTTTTGGTTCCTTTTAGTTCAACTACTTCATACTAAGATAAGATGGACAAGAGTTGGACTAAAATCACGAATAAGGTCGATCCAAAGTTCATGAAGGGGGCAATTGCTTTTGCGGAGATGGCTAAAGGTTACGTTGATAGTGAAGGTCGTACACACTGTCCATGTAAAAGCTGTCTAAATGTAAGAAAGCATGCACCTGATGTAGTTTGTAGTCATATCATACATCATGGCTTTCAACAGTCATATAAAATATGGACATTTCACGGGGAAAGTCGCCAGGAAAATGAAATAAACAACGAGCATGATGAAAGTGATAATGAATCAGATGATGGTGTCGATGCTTTACTTGGTGATGCGTTTCATGTGGGAGCTGAAACTGAAGGAGTAGATGACAACGATGAGGACGAGTCTTATAATCGATCTAGTAATCCAAATGTGGACAAGTTATTCGCTGATATGGAGAAACCTTTATTTCCAGGATGTGATACTTTCTCTGTACTAGGATTTATATTACGATTGATGCACGTGAAGGTAACATGTAAAATGACAAATGTGTCCATGGATATGATACTGAAGTTATTGAGTGAGGCATTCAAGAACACAATAATCCCTAAATCCCACTATGAGGCAAAAAAGTATTTGCGTACTCTTGGACTTGGATACGAATCAATACATGCTTGCAAGAATGATTGTGCATTGTTTTGGAAGGAAAATTCGGAATTACAATCATGTCCTGTTTGTGGTGCTAGTCGTTGGGTAGATGATAAAATGCATCAAAAGAAGATTCCAACCAAAGTCTTGCGTTACTTTCCCATCACAAGTAGACTTAAGCGACTATATGCCTCTAGGTATACTGCAAAGGACATGCAGTGGCACGCTCACAACAAGTCTAAAGAAGATGGAGTTCTTAGGTATCCAGCAGACGGAAAAGCATGGAAGCACTTTGATACAATCTACCCTGATTTTGCCAAAGAACCAAGAAATGTACGCCTAGGTCTTGCGAGCGATGGTTTCAACCCTTTTGGGACAATGAGTACTTCATATAGTATGTGGCCCGTTGTGCTTATATTGTACAATCTGCCTCCTTGGAAGTCTATGATTGATGCTTCATTTATGATGGCTTTGTTGATTCCTGGAAAAGATTCACCAGGAAAGGATATTGATGTATATTTACGTCCACTGGTAGATGAGTTGAAACTTCTATGGGAGAATGGTATTGAAACATATGATTCTGAATCGGGACGTACATTCAACATGCGTGCAGCACTTATGTGGACAATAAACGATTTTCCTGCATATGGTTACTTGTCTGGATGGAGCACAAGTGGGTACATGGCATGCCCAACATGCAACGAAGATGCATCTAGTATTCGTATACGAAAGAAAATAGCATATGTAGGTCATAGGCGATTTCTTCCCCCTGATCATCCTTGGAGGAATGCACGAGATTTTAATGGGAAAAAAGAGTCTAGGATTGCACCCAAACATATCAGTGGAGAAGATTGCTTGCGCCAATTAGAAAATGTCCCTTACTTTCCACATGGAAAGAAACAGTCTCACATTGGCCAAAAACGTAGAAGGAGCGAACGCGAGTTAAATTGGTCAAAAAAAAGCATATTCTTTGAACTACCATACTGGTGTAAGTTGTTAATGCGTCATAACATTGATGTCATGCATGTTATAAAAAATGTGGGTGAGAACTTCTTGGGAACCTTATTAAACATAGAAAAGAGGACAAAAGACACTGACCTAGCTCGCCGAGATCTTCAAGATATGAAAATACGCAAGAATCTGCACTTGGTGAAGAAAAATGATCGTTGGATTAAACCGCCCGCTCCGTATGTCTTAACTCCAATAGAAAGGAAACAATTTTGCTCTCTAGTTAAGTCTGTGCGTTTTCCTGATGGATATGCTGCAAACTTGGGTAAAAATGTTATTCTTGAGCAAAATAAGATATATGGGCTTAAATCACATGATTATCATGTCTTCATGTTACGTATACTCCCTATTGCTGTTCGTGGGCTTTTAGATAAGCGTATACGTGATACATTGACCGAGTTGTCTCAATTTTTCAAGATTCTAACTTCAGCCACATTACTTGTGAGAGAGTTGGAAACTTTGCAAGAAGAGATAGTTAAGATTCTTTGCAAGCTTGAACGCATATTTCCTCCCTCATTTTTTACAGTTATGATGCACTTGTGCGTTCATCTACCTCAAGAAGCTATTTTAGGAGGACCTGTACAATCAAGGTGGATGTATCCGGTTGAAAGGTATCTCGGCCATTTAAAGAAATATGTTAGAAACAAAGCAAGACCCGAAGGTTCAATTGCAGAAGGTTATGTTGTTGAAGAAGCTCTGATATTTTGTTCACACTATTTACGTGGTGTTGATTCAAGATTAGATAAGCGAGGTAGATATGACGATGAAACTACAAGTGATGTTCGAGACTATAAATTAGATATTTTCAGATTAAATGGTCGAGGAATTGGGAAGCGAGAAACTGTTAGGCTTTCAAACATTTCAATAAAGAAAGCATTGTGGTTTATGTTAACTAATTGTTCACAAGTTGAACCGTACCTGAAGTAAGTACATTTTCCCTTTCATAGTGAATTCACTTTTTTGTATCTCAAGGTATTTAAAGCTTACTTGCACTTGACAGTGAGCACTTGAATTTCTTGGAAAGACAACATCAAGCAGCCCTAGATTTCAGTGAATTACAACAATCTACATTTCCATCTTGGTTTTCATCACGGGTAATGTTACTATAACATAATTTATATCATTTTCTCATGTCAGAACAATCAACCTACCCTTACTTTTTTTGGAAATGGTGAACAGATAGGAACAATGTATGAGCAAAATTCATCGGAAATCAACGAAGAGTTATATGCACTATCTCGTGGTCCAGATAATCGAGTTATATCACATAGTGGATACATAGTAAATGGAGTTAAATTTCTTGTTAAGTCACGAGATGATCATAGGAGGACTCAAAATTGTGGAGTCACAGCTGTAGGAATTCACAATGGTGTTGAAGAAGATTATTATGGATATGTTGATGAAGTCCTTGAATTTTCATTCATAAAAGGATATCGAGTTATTTTATTTAAATGCATTTGGTTTGATACCGACCGTAAAAGGAAGCACGTGATGTTTGAACCTCATTTCATATCTATAGATACAACCAAAAAAGCTTATGACGAAGATCCTTTTGTGTTGGCAAATCAAGCAAAACAAGTTTTCTATATAAACGATCCCACGCGTGACTCGGGCTGGAAAATCATAGAAAGAAGCACACATAGGCATTTATGGGATATTCCGGATAATGAGGATGTACAGGATATGTTTGAACATGTAGGAACATCGTCGGACACAACCCCCTTTCAAACATCAGATTGTGAAAATTTCGAGTTTCATGTAGAAGACGGTGAAGAAGAGTTTGTGGAAATTGTTGATGTTGAAGCTTTTGAAGACAATTTAGATGATTTTATTGATTATGATACTATCCCCAAAGAAATTAGTGAGGAACCTGAAGATTTAGAGGGTTTAGATGATAGCAATGAAACAAATGTAGCCCTATTTGATGATTCAGACGATGAATATGAATAATTGTAATCTTTTTCTACTTTGTTGGTGTGTTTTGTAATTAGTTACATTTTTAAAACTTATTTACTATGATTATGGATAATTGTACTGTAGTTCTACTTCATTGGTGTGTTTTTAATCTGTTAATATTTAAAACTTTTAGACGATGAATATAAATAACTGTACTCCTGACTAACTTGTCTATAAATCACATCCTTTGCAGATAAAATGTGGATATTTCTGGTGATGATGACAATTGTTAATCTCGGAGGTACTAAGCGTGTAAGAAAAGAACCTCGACAAATTTCAGTCACGTCATCAGGTGAAGGAAGTGAAGGTGAACTCGATCCAAAATTGTGTATGCTTCGTCGACGTAAACGTGCTATGGCATCCGTTGATGCAACAGGTAAACCTTATATGTTTTTACTGTTTACTAAAAATTGAGTTAAAGAAAAATTTAAATGTAATGGATTTCAGATTTCTGTTTTTGACCTGATTTGTGTTTTTAACTTCAAATCTGAAATTTTGGACAATGTACTTTTTACAACCTTATCAACAACTTACACAATGTATGGGTGTTATTCGGTTGGGTAATTCTATTTTCTTTTTATTCGGGTTCGGGAAATGTACTTTCTAATTTCTACAGGAGGAAGTGGTCCGAGAAAAAATCCTCAATCAACATCAAATTTGCTTGTTGGTGAAGGAACTGTCTCTAACACAACTGAGCCAGTAGTTTGCCAAAATACGGATTCTTTTCCCAAATCGGGCACTACAGGTAAAGATCATCAAACCATGGATATACACCCATGCTTAACACAATTTAGTGAAGATGGATTACAATATCATTTTCTTTTTTATTTTATAAAAGCCACTGCTATGTCTTCTTTTGCATCCTTTTTTTAGTTTTTAAAGATCATCAGACCATGCATATAAACCCATGCTTTCTTATACAAAATAACAACAATTCCACTGTGATTGCCAGAGAAGAAAACCAGAAAGAAAACCAAATCCTTGTTTGTTTTATTAATTATCTCCTTCAGTTTAGTCTATATCTCTTTGTCTCTATCTATCCTCACATCATAAACATAGAACTGTTACATCCTTTCATGGCATCTGTTGGAATAATCAAAATCTAGGACAGGTTTCACCCAGGGGTATTTTGGGAAAAACCATCGTATTTTTAGTTTTTTTGTTAGATTAGGATTTTTTTTTTTGGTTTAGTATGAACTGGAAATGTATCTATGATGTTTTAATTAAGTTTTATTCATATTTTTCTCAACAAAGCTTGGAGTACAAGAAAATTTTCCCAGAAAAATTTTCCCCTGTTTTGTTCTTCACCTATTCCGCCTCTGTATCTTGTTTTCATGTCTCTGGCCAGCTGTGATTTATGTGTTTCTTTCTTTCTTTCCACTTATGTTTATACATTTACACGCTTATGTGACTAAAAAAACAGGAGGGAGTGGTTCTAGAGAAAATACTCAACCGGCTTCATTAGCCACAGATGAAGTCGTTCCAAGTAATAGTAGACAATTTATTCTTTTATTTATAATATTACAGATTATGCATTAGTTGATGTATACTTTCTGTCGTGTAGATCAACCACAGAGGCGGAGGCGAGGCCCTAATATTAATAAAAAGGCTTCACAGATTTTGGAAAAACAACCTGATGCTCGAATTACATTGACAAGAGATATCTATACAAAGAAATTCATTGGGGATTCAACAATATCTTTTGCAACGGAGGTTGGAATTGTGATGCAGAGCTTTTGTGAAATGGAATTCCATACATGGGAGAAAGTAGCAAAAGAAAATAAAGAAGAAATGATTAACAGATTACGTGTAAGTTACATATCATTTTCCTAAATCTATTCATTTTTTTGTTAAAATTTAAAATTCATAAATGGAAGTAATTTATTATTAAAATTTAATTAATAACGTTCAATTTTAATTTATGTATTAAATGTAGGAAAAATTTGAATTACCGCACGAAGATAAAGTTCTGATGGAGTATGTAGATGAACAAATGCGGAGGCAATGGAAACGCACACGAAATATTTTCAAAGATTATTGGAAGAAAAATGGAGGAATGACAGATCCACAATTTGCAAGATCTAAAATGAAGCCAGATTGTCGTAGCGAAGAAGATTGGGGTTATTTGTGCGATTATTGGGAATCGATGAAAGCGAAGGTAATTATTAAATTCTATAAACCTTATAATTTCATCTTAGAATTCTTATTTTATTTCTTGTAGTATTATAAAACATGCGCTGTCAAATATACAATAGTATACACCTATAACAAAATTCTCTCAATCTTGCACATACACATTTAATTTATGTAATTAACTCTTATTTATATATTATTAACCACGTATAGTTCAAATTTTGTAGCAATATGCTGAACAAATGAAACATAATCGGGGAAAACTTGTTATTCCAAGTAGAGGAGGCTCAAGATCGATAGCAAATCACAAATTTGCCATGGTAAACTATCAAATTAATTCATATTTAAATTAATATATTCAAGAAAATTATTTTTTACCTTCACTTATATTAATTTTTATTATTGCAGACAAATAAAGAGACTCAAATGCCCCCCAGCCCAATCGAGTTATATCATAAGTTGCATTTTGATCCTATAAAGAAATGGATAAATGATGAGTCACGCATTCAATACGTAAGAATGATTTCTTGACTAATATTTATTTATAGTTATAATATATTGATATTGGTGTTATAAGTTATTATAATATGTTTTTATGTTGTATTAGGAAAATATTCTCCAACTCAAGGAGGAAGAATGTGCCAAATTAGTTTCGGCGGGAACAAGCATTACTCAAGAAATGGAATACGACATAGAGAAAAAAGTCATTAAAACTATTTGTGCCAAACATAAAACATTACAATCTGGATGGGAGGCTTCAAGTGGACCTGTTATGAGGAAAAAAGATATACATCTCTTATCAACCGCAGAAACATCTCAATCAGCCTCAAAAGACGAAGAAGATATGAAAAGTAAGATTGTTGCACTTGAGGAGGAGGTTCGAATAAATGAACAAAAAGTCAAACAAAGTGAGGAAATATGTGAAAAAATGTTCGAGTTTATTATCTCGAAGTTCCCGGATTCTCAAAACATATTATGTCCACCCGATGAAGATGAAGCTCGTGCGTACGATGACATAACAGATCTATCAGAGCAAGCGTAGCAAGCGTAACATTCTTGACCGGTTATTAAAAATTGGAACTTCTTTCACGTATGGTTTAGTTATTGACTAGTTTCTTAGACATTTTTGTTTGTTGTTTTAAATTTGGATATGATGTCTAAATTACGGTTTATTTATCTAGTACTAGTTCATTTGGTGTATTAACAAGCGCATTGTTTATATTAGTCACTATAAATGTTAGTTTAAGACTAAACTTTGGTTTGAAACAATAGCAGGTTAGGGACCGAATGACATTATATTTGAGACTAATATTCAGTCACTAGAAAATCAGGTTAGGGAGCAAATGGTATTGTATCTGAGACTGATATTCAATCACTAAAAATCCAGGTTAGGACTAAATGAAATTCTATCTAAGACTGACATTCAGTTACTGAAAATTTTGGTTAGGGGCTGAATGAAAATGTATCTGAGACTGACATCCCGGTAACTAAAAAATCGGGTTAGGGACTGAATGAAAGTGTATATGAGACTGATATGCAGTCAATAAAAATCAGGTTAGAGACAGAAGATGATAACATTTGAGACTGATATTCAGTCTTAAATAGATATTATCAGGGACTGATATGAATTGAGTAAGGATTTTAATGAAGCGTATCGGAGACTGAATGATGTAGTATGTAAGACTGATTTTTAGTCCCCAAAAGTTATTATCAGGGACTGGTCTTATATGAAATCGTGGATTTAAAGAAAACACATTTAAGATTGAATTTGGTATTATCAGGGACTGATTATCTGTCTTTGATACTATTACATATTAAGGACTGATTTTTAGTCCCAGATATTAAAAAAAACACTATCTAGGACTAGGTTTCTTGGACTAGCTTAGGACTAGCAAAATCAGTCCCGGATTCTCATTAGAGACTGATTATTAACCATCTAAGACTGAATATGTCAGTCTCTGATACCCCTTTTTCTTGTAGTGACATCTACACCAAATAACACTTCTGATCTGATCTGGTTAAAACAAGAGCCAACTAATTAGTATTTTTATTCTTCAAATTTGAAATAATATTATTTTAGATAGATTTATATATTTGAGAACACAAAAAACTGTAGGTTGTTTGACCAATCAATCATTTATCATTTATGGTAACACACCATGTGCCCGTATAAACACGCATGTATGTTTATCACCATCTTATCCAGTCGTTTCTTTAGACATGTATGGTCCCTTTTGACTACAAAAATAGGAGCTTGATGACATGTCAATTTAAAGCAAATTTGGCCATTAGTCTAAGGAGAAACACGCCAGTCGTTTTTCCCTTATCTTATGGACCCGAGGGGAAGTGGTAGGGTGGGGTGGGGGTATGCAGGTTTACTCTTTAAAGTTGGCCTATATATATAGACACATGTAAGTATATATGTGCAGAATAATACTGTAAAAGCTTTCAACAAAGTTCTCATATGGCAGCTGCAAGTTTATCAAGCTTCAAGACTTTGAAACAGAGATCACTAGTGCGATGTTCAAAGCAAATCAGGGAGCAAAAGGCACGACTTTATATCATATGGAGGTGCACCATGTTTCTTATGTGCTCGCATGATTAAGAAGAAGTATAAATGTGGATCGAAATGCATCTATTAGCTCTAGGAAGATGTAAGTTCTACACGTTATTGATCTTCATATGTATATAGAAAGAAATGTTCCATAAAGTGGTCTATGTATACATGATAAACGAAGTTTTGAAACAATTATAGTGTTGACTCGTTAATGGAATTATAGGCCCTTTTTGTACAATGTAAGATTTGAATAATGATTATGCATAAATCTTATTTTTGGGATCAAGAACTAATTTTGTATGGTGATTGTTGATATTATTTGACACAAACAAAATTTAAAAGAGCTAGCATCCAATTTCCGGAGCCTACACAAAGGAAACTCTTTCAAAGCCCAACCCCACCATTGTTTTGATCTATACGATTAATTTTCGAACCTGTCATTTTGTCACCTCCATATGTGTTATTATAGGGCGTGTACGTTTGTTATAGGCACGTAGGGGACCGGATGTGAGCAATGTTGGGAAATTTAGGGTTTGTGGTGGAGATCTGGATACCAACTTGGATCGTGATATCACTTTCCGAACTGATATTTCTACCCTATGCCTGGGTTACAAGAAATTCAGCCTAGGATAATCCAGCGGGACCCCAGCCAGGGGCTCTGCCCCTTGGACCCGGCTAGGGGCTCTGCCCCTAGACCCCGCCAAAGGGGCGCTGCCCCTTTGGAAACCCCGGACCCCCGACTAGTCGTCGAACCGGCTTCTGATTCGATCTTATACATGCGTGTACTCCGCACAACCCTGTACATATATTAGAGTACAAATCATGAAGCCCCTTAGCTCACATGTTAGTTCCAGTTATTTAAAATGACATGGTGACACTAAAATCACCAAACAACAAGTTTTTAAGGCTAATTTCAACGATGAAAATAAGAAGAATATTCATGTTTTTTGTGCAGATGTGAGATGGAAAACAAGTCATTGTCTCTTACACAATATGGAAGTAAACAACATATTAAAGCATTGGAATCACAATAGGCAAAGTTTTATTAAATCAAGATATGACAATAGTTTAAAGCATTGGATACACAATAGGGCAAAGTTTAATTTATTAAAGCATTGGATACACAATAGATTCAACGCCTTTTATATGACAGAGTTTCAATTTGATAGATATTGGTGGTTCCATCAAAATTTTATTTTACAAAATATAGTAATTTTTATATAATTCAAAGTTGTTGAGTTACTTAACACATGTCATCATTCTATTAGATGGAGAATAGTTTGTTATTTAGTTCAGTTGGAAGTAGATGGCGAAGAGTTTGCTGAGTTTGTTATTTTTATCTAATTCAAAGTTTTATGTAGTTATTCTAAGAAACGTAAATTTTCAGTCATGACGATAGTTACACAAAAAAAAAATCCAAAGTACAATGATTTTTATATAATTTGATATTTAATTATTTATTAAATATAAAAATAAAAATAAAATTTAAGTTATATTTAATCTACTTTTTCTATAATAGAAAAACTATCTACCCTATTTAGTTGCCTAAGTTTAATTTTAAGTATGTTTATTTGTGTTTATATATCCTATTTAGTTGTCTAAGTTTTATTTTAAGTACGTTGATTTGTGTTATTCTGTAACAAAATATTATAGATTTATTAAAATTTATTTATTTTAATCTTTTATTCTATAATAATAAATTGCTAGTTATTCTAATTTAATTTTTAAAAAAACCAACTTTTATACAAAAGGGAATAAAATGAAATAAATAAAAATTAATGAGCCCTATAATAACAACAACATGCCTAAAAAATCTTATTTAGATGGGGTAAGGGATGTAGAATGTCAACAGTCTGCCTTGAAGAACAACTGTGTCACATAGATGACCTCCGGCATGTTCGTTATGATGATCTAGGCAAAGAAGGAAATAATACGTCAAAGTTAGCGGTAAGCAAAACCTGCTAAAAATATAGAACATGCAAATATGAACTCGAAAACCTTCAAATGAAGCAACCAAGAAAACAATAAGTCAATGTAAAGCAAAATAAGATCATGGAAAAAATGAAAGTCAGAAAACGAGCATATGAGCATGAAACAATTTTCATCGATATAAACATCAAACAACAAAACCTACAAGTGGGCTAGGCTACTCAGTTACCTTAATATTAAGCCTCTACACCTTCCTATATGAGCTCATGTCCTCGGTAGAGCATGTTCCTCCATGTCTAGCTTCACACTATCCTTCCACTTCCTTCTAGGACGTCCTCTTCTCCTCTCACCATCAAGCATCATCGACTCTACCCTCTTTACTATATTTGATGTTGTACTTCTTTGGACATGTCCATATCACCCCAATCTTCTGTTCCTTAAATTTTCAGTGATCTGCTACACTCCAAACAAATTTCTTATTATTGTATTATATATTCTATCTAGAAGAGTTTGACCATAAGTCCACCTCAAGTCCTCAACATCCTTAATCTTTCTCACATGGTCCTTCTTACTTAACCAACATTCAGATCCATACAACATAGCATGCCAGATGGTTACTCTGTAAAACTTCTTTTTTAGATTTAATAGGACCTTCCTATCCATAAGACTCATGATGCTACCCTCCATTTTATACAACCCACTTTTATGTGTTGGGTGACATTTACCTCCAGAGCCTCTTCCTTATAGATCATATACCCTAAATACTTGAAGCTCTCCATCGAGAGGAGAGTTTGCTCTACAATAATTACAAGGATAATACTCCATAAGTTGGTTCTTAGATTTTGGTTCTTAGATTTTTGGTAAGCATTTCCTTGTTAATCTAGTGATTTTACACACATACATATTAGTTTTGTTATATTTACACACATTAACATGTGATAAAATCCATAGGGTAATACCATCTTCAAGTGTTCTAAGCTTGAGGATCTTCATCTTCATCTATTTATCCACTAAGAAATCCACTCAAGGTGAGTTCATACCCACCATTTTCGAGATTTTCATGTTTTAGTGGGGGGGGGGGGAATACAAGAAAAATTGTATAACAACACAAGTTATTATGCATGCTTCATCTCTATGTTGTATATAAAGTATTATTTGCATGAAATATGGTTATTTCTAGTTGCTAGAACATTTATATGTGGTATGTTAGTTTGAGATATAAAACTAAGTAAAACAAATATAATCATGCTATATGTTCTTAAGAAAAAGTTATGATTACAAAGCTATAAAGACTAGGATTTTTATTAACAAAATATGGCCTTTCTAGCAAAAATGGTTATAACCTAGTTATTACACAATTTTTGTGGGATATAATCCAAAATATGTTGTTTGGGACATGTGTCTTGAAACTAGTCTAAAATATCAAAGAGTTAGTTTTACAAAAAGAAAACTCAAAAATCTATCATTTTATGTAAAAGTGGGTTTTCTAACAAAAATGGTCATAACTAGTTCTACACAGTTATATTTTACTAGTTACCAATAAACATCGTTAAAAA